CTAGTCCAATGCCTGGCACATAGTAAGCACTCAGTATATGATAGCTGTGAGCATCTTGGGATTAGAAAATAAGAAATGATCAGACATCAGAAATTAAGACAGACAGCAGTGGCTCTTAGTCCTCTCAGTGTCTTAGACAATATTTATTTTAAAACACTTTGAGATATAATTCACATATCATTAAGTCACCCATTTAAGTTTACAATTCAATGTTTTTTAATATGCACTAACCTACCGTCTGTTTCTGTAGATTTGTTCTTCAATGGTAGTGAGGCAGCAAGACCTTGTATCCCACACTGCTATATTTCTGCCTGACCTGAGATTTCTGCATACACACAATTTGCTCCCAAATTTCTACACATAATCTCTATCTATGAATGTCAACCATGGAGGGTCCATCTCTTTCACCCTTATTGTTGCCTCTGGGAGCAACAGAAACCTAAGAGATTCCAGCCAGCAATCAAGAATAGTATCTCTGTAGATTGGTCCAAGCTATTGATATAAAAGCTACCACTTATCAAGTGTTTATTATGGCTCAGCATTGTGCTTATAATTATCTTTTCTAATTTCTAAGTTTTAGGAATACCACCTAGACATGTTCTGTCTCAGCTCTATGCTAACTCCTGGTAAAAAATAATTCCTGGGATAAAATATTTGCAAATTATATAACAGATAAGGCACTTGAATCTAGAATATATGAAGAATTTTTACAACTCAGTAATATAAAGATAAATATACCAGTTGGAAAACATCAAAGGATCTCAATAGACGTTCTCCAAAGAAGATTAAAAAAACTTGAGCAGTCAGCATGAGAAAATATGTTCAACATCATTAGCCATTAGGGAAACATAAATCAAAACCACAGTGAGATACCACTTTCACACTGACTAGAATGGTTATAATAAAAGCACTCATGAGGATGTGGAGAAATTGGAGCCCTCATAATTATGAATGGGACTGATAATGGAGAAGCCTCTTTAGAAAAGTTTTGCTTCACATAATGTTAAATACAGTTACCATATGATTCAGCAATTCCATTCATAGGTATATGCTTAGGAGAAATGAAAACATATGTCCACATAAGTCCTGTAAACAAAAAATTTATGACACCATTATTCATTAGAGCCAAGAAGCAGAAATAACCCAAATGTCCATCAATCAGTGAGCAGATAAACTGTAGTCTATCAATACAATGGAATATTATTCATTCATAAAAAAGAATGAAGTAATGATACATGCTACAATTAAACAAACCTAGAAACATTACACTAAGTGAAAGAAGCCAGTTACAAAAGACCATGTATTATATGATTCCATTTATATGAAATGTCCAAAATAGGCAAATTATGAGACAGAAAGCAGATCAGTGGTTGCCTCGGGCTGGGGATGGAGGAAATGGGGAGTGACTGTTAATGAGTATTGGCTTCTTTTTGGGGTGCTAACAATGTTCTAAAATGAGATAGTGAGGATGGTTGTACAACTCTGTGAATAGACGAAAATCTTTTCAGGTAAGGTGAATTATATAACGTGAATTAATTCTCAAAAATGCTGTTATTAAGATCATGAGACTTAAAATCATAAACTGAAGATCATAAATTTAAAATCATGAAGCTCAACCTTCAAAGCAAGTTTAAGGTAGCAAAATAGAGTGTAATATTTCTATTTTTAGCTTGGATATTCTAACTTTAGCAAGAGCCTAGACTTGCAATGTTATACTTACCATTCCATCCTCAGACATAGGGGATTTGCCCTTTTCTTCACAAGAACACCTTCTGTGCTTGTTTTAAAAATGCATGATGTATTTAGAGTACACTAAAACTTGGAGTCTTTTATTTACATTTGTGTGGTGCCTGTATCCAGTGTCCCCAAGGTGTTATAATAGAATAGTTTTATTTTGCTACAGGTGGTAGCAATGCAAGGATGAAGGAATTTGTTCCCTCTACCATGTCCCTCACAAGTGTAACAGTAAGTTGCCCAGACTGTGAGATCAGACTGCCAATACTCTTTTAGGCAATGTGACTTGGGAGAGGCACTTAACCTCAGTTTTCCTATCTGCAAAAGTTGGGGAAGGGTTAGAAGTAGTAATACTATTTGCTTCACTATGTTAATTAAATAATCCATGTCAGGTACTTAGCACAGTTCCAAGTGCACCGCAAATGCTAAAATTGCAGTAGTTGTTAGTAATTACTATTATAATACAGCAAGAGTAACAGGGGATTGAGATAGATTATTAAGAAATGGGTAAAAACAAGTAATGTGGCTGAGAGTTGACGACTAGCACCCTAAAAGTAAGTGAGGGGTGGAAAGAGGTATAATATTCTGGTTCTCAGTTTCATCAACATAAGGCAACTGTATTGGAAATTTAATCAAAATATTTGGATAGTTTTCAGCATTTACTGCTAGAAAACTAGAGAGCTTGCTATATAGACAAGGCTGTGAAGTTGCATGAGTATTTTTCAGAGAACAATATATGATTAAAGCATTGCTACAGAAAGCTGAAATTTTAGACTACATTTCTAATCAGTGGTATCTTATAACATCACTTTACAACTCATGTCTTTAATTTGAAAAACAAGTCTGCTGAGAAGTCTCTTTTCCTCCTCCCTTGAGCTTTATTCAGCCAGTATTTTTTCTGTTGAGAGTAGCAGGAACTTTAAAATATTTTTAAAGACTATTTTAACTTCTTAGGGGAAAGGAAACATTAGTGAAATAATAACTTATAAAATAATAGTTGGTTTGGGGATGTAAAAGAATTATCATTTTGAACATACTTTAAAAATGGACTTTAAAACCTTCTTTGCTTAACCAAAATTTCAGAGAGAAGAAAGGGAGAGATGGAAGTTGAAAGTAACTCACAAGTTTCTCTGCTTTTCCCCAAATGTTTGTTCATATTTTTATATTAATAGGTAAATTCTGGGGACCTAAGTGAACCTCATAAGCTCAAGCTTTTTGTTCTCCTATGTGTAGCTTATCTTGAAATATTTTTATTATAATAATGCTTGGTGGTCATAAAGATCTGTTTGAGGAAACCGGGGATCCATACATAGGATAAGCAGTGACTACAGACAGACCTGTCCCACTCTTCAGACTGTGGTAGGAGTGGGTAAGTTTCTCAGTCTCTCTGTGCTTCATTTCTCTCACCTTAAGAAGGGAATAATATTACTTTTCTCATAGAGTTGATGTGAGGATTAAATGAAATTGTACATGTAAAGTGCACCAAGCACATAGTAAAATAGCAAATTTTAGCCCTTGTTCTTGTGGCCAAGGCCAGAAGAAGAGCTGCAGCAAATGTCTCAAGGTGCAGCTATTAACAGCCCTCAGTGAACAGAAAGGGTTGGGAAAGCAAAGACATCTTCCAAACTGCACTCCAGCAAGTTTCAAAAGGGCATAAAGGTAAAAAACTCATTCTTTTGTTTGGTAGAAATCACAGAGTAGAACCTGTGTAAGGGGCTGGGGTGTGTGTACCAGGAGGAGTGTTGGTGGCAGGGGCTGAGGCAACAGAGAAGTAAGTGACTTTGAGGAGTGGGGCTGGATTTAGAAACAAGAAAACCACCGGGCTTGCTGCCACATGCTTGTAATATGACTCTTTTATTTTCCCTGTTAAGGAATTGATTTAAACTCTGCTCAGAATTTGACAAGATGACATTGAGCCATGATACATACCCTGCCTGACATGCAACAAATATTTAAATGTTATTAAGTATTGGAAATTAATAAATAATTGTACTTCCATCAGAAGGCATAGTTTGAATTAGTGTCAACAGTCTCAGTGGAATTAGAAGACTGGGCCAACTCCTGGCACACTTACAGAGGTGTGAATTTGTTACCTTATTTTACTTCTGAAATGGTTTCATCATTTGTGAAAAGGGGAAAGTACCTAATTAGTTGTTGTTGAGAATAAGGTTATTCATAGCAACCGATACACAGAGGTGCATTTTCTATTTTGTGTGAGAGGAAAAAGGCTTAAAAATAATCATACGTATTAATACATAAGGTGTTACCAAATATGCTTGAATATGCACTGACACTCTATTACCTTAATGGACTTAACTATTTTCAACTACTATCAATGCCTTTAGTAATGACAGTTAATTCGCTGACTTATCTTCCTCCCCTCACTGCATCTCTCAGCTCACCACAAACACTACGCTATAAAATGTTATTTCTTACGCGTATTTTACTAATACTTAATCCTTGGCTTGGTGGACACTAACGGAAATTGGATTGACTCTGGAAAGCGTTTCTGCGAACTGCCTTTTCGAGTCTTGCCCAGTGTCTACCAAGTGCTGAAATGGCAGGAGTTAACCGCAATTAAAGCATCCGTCGTAACACGGCATTTTTTGACCCGAAAAGGCGCGCAACACTCGCATGTCATAGTTCAATTGGTTAATTCTGCTACCCGAATTCATTTCCCCACGAGAGAAAGCGTATTCCACTTCAGGTTAAACAGAAGAGCCTCGATTACTGCGGGTGCAGAAGGGTGACGCCAGCAACAGAGCATTTAGGAACTTGACACAGATCGGATCCTGCCTTCCCGGGGTCAGCGTGGCACCTCAGCAACACCCCGCCCCAGCCCCGGGAGTTTGTGTCTCCAGCTGTGAGCTCTAGAGTCACCTTGACCCCATCAGACAGGTGGGGAAAGTTAATCCTGGGCCGGAGGCGGGGTAAGTAAAACCAAAAATCAAACAACTTTCGCGAGAAAACTACGCCGTCACGTTTTCCTGTTGTCTGCGTACCTCGAGACCCAGAGAATTTCAGGGTGGCGAAAGCAGGTGGCAGGACTCCGCCCACCAGGGAGCGTCCCCTCTTTCAGCTTGCACGCTCCACTCCCTCCGTGAGGTCCAGCCTCTTAGGCGCGCGCGAAGAGTTGTCACGCCGTGCATTCTGGAAATTGTAGTCCTAGCACCTGGAGTCGCCTCTGTAGAAGCGACTCTGGCCTACATACCCCGTGGTGCTGAGCGGCGCGGCCCGCTCCCGGATGTGTGCCTGGCGCCGGAAGAGAAGACGGCCCCCGTCTCTCAGTCCGGCCATCTTGTGGGAAGAGCTGAGGCAGGCGCTCTTGGCTCGGTGCGGCCCGCTGCAATCCGTGGAGGAACGCACCGCGGAGCCACCATCATGCCTGGGCACTTACAGGAAGGCTTCGGCTGTGTGGTCACCAATCGATTCGACCAGTTATTTGATGACGAATCGGACCCTTTCGAGGTGTTGAAGGCAGCAGAGAACAAGAAAAAAGAAGCCGGCGGGGGCGGCGTTGGGGGCCCTGGGGCCAAGAGCGCAGCTCAGGCCGCAGCCCAGACCAACTCCAACGCGGCAGGCAAACAGCTGCGTAAAGAATCCCAGAAAGACCGCAAGAATCCGCTGCCTTCCAACCCTGGCGTGGTTGACAAGAAAGAGGAGACGCAGCCGCCCGTGGCGCTTAAGAAAGAAGGTAAAGCTGTCGTATTAGGTGGGGGAGACCCGGGATGGAGGGAAGGAGCGAGGGGACTGTGGCTACCACTTGCTCTTGGAGTTCTGAGGGTCCGTGGGAGTCTTTGCGGCCGGTTCCTCACACGGCCAAAACCAGCCCTTGCGAAGGCGCTGGGAACGTGGTAGCCCCAAGTTCAAACCACCGCTTGCAAGGGTCCTAGAACCACCCCCCTTCCCACCTCAGGTTCCAAGCGGAGGAGCGTGGTGCGGAGATAAGCCGCTCTGCTAGTGTGCAGGATCCTGAGAGGCGGTTGCCTTCCCGCCGGATTCCTTGGCGGGTGAGCGCATGGACTCGGGTGCGGGGGAACTAGCCACTTAACTGGAGCTTTTGTAGTTATGGGGTCCACGCTTCTTTCTGCTCAGAGCTCTCTCTCAACGTGTTGCTTTGAGGTGCGGTTGGCTTCTATCCTGCCATCTTGTCCCACGATGGTGCGGAGTACACCGGTGGAAAGCCGGGGGTCGGAGTTTACACCTAAGCTACCTCTGTGCTCCGGCAATCAGATACTGTGCAGTAAGCTGCTGTTTCAGGTGCCACATGTGCTTTGTTGTCCCCCCTCTCCAACTATTGTAAACTTACTAACTTGCTGGAGTGAGGTAAGATGTTGGGAAGGAGAAAATTTGGCTACACTGGATGAAACAAGCGGGAATTCTGAATGAAGACTGGTTATTGCGGGAAATTCTGAGGATCGTTCTCCTGTCACGATCTCCTTTCTACGACCGGACTTCCCGCTCCCACCCCGCACTCTATATATTTCTTACGTGCGGTCTGGTTAGGCCTTGTGGTGAAATGGTTGCAGAACCTGTCACAACGTTAGCCGCAGCAGAGCTTTTGAGTCGGCAGCTTTTTCTCCACATGTGCGTGAAGCATGGTCAGGATTTCATTGGTGGATAATAGTTGCTTCCATGTCACTAAACTTCACAGGATTGTCTTGAGCTCCATTTTTGCATTTTCTCACTTACTGTGTTGTCTTTTGTGGTGGATGAAAAAACGGAACGGGTTAGTGGGGGGATAAGAAAAAACATACATGATCAGTAGCAAGGAGGTAGAGGACCTAAACTCTTAATCTTAAATTTGCCTTTACTTGTTGAAAGTTGAAATTCTACTGCCACGTGCTCCTGAAAGGAGTTAGCTTCTCATCAGTTTTAGTTAGATTTGATAGCATTCAACTAATTTAAAAAATTAAAACAATGTGTTAGGTTTTGGTTGAGTTTTTTTTCAGTGCAGAACTTTTGTGAGGCTTGGGATGAAGAATACAAGCGAATACAAAAGAATTGTGTTAAAGTTACAGGTTGGGGATAAGCACAAGTTGGGAGTATTAGAAAGCATGTGTACATCTCTTAGACTAAATATACAGTTAACTAAGCTTTATAGCAACCTGTAGCACAATTGAATAAGCATTTAATTTCTCTGTTAAGGAACCATAGGCTTGTGTCATTAATTTAAATTATGCTCAGGTGTACCTCTTTGATCACACTAATCCAAAGAACGCACATGAAAAAATTGAGCCTGACGTATAAATCTGTAAAATGTACCCAGGTGGGTGTGTGTTCACCTGTTCTGAAAGCATGAGGCATGGTTTAAATTCCTCAGTTGTTTAGATCATAAAGCTCATCTTTGAAACAAGCTCTTACCTGGAAACTAGTATTTTAAGTTACAAAGGTAGGGAATTATTTCATACATTTATAACAACGACTGAGTGTCACCAATCAGTACCTTTCCTTGGGAAAACATCGTATTTAACTATCAACATTTTTCTTAGGTCAGCATCTCAGAGAACTCTTCAACTTAAGTTGCATAAAATTCAACCTTACATAGGAAAAATGTTAATGAAAAATATGTTTTGAGACCCTACTACCTGACAGTTAATACTTTGGGCATTGGGGAAGGATAGTCCTGTAAATAAAGTCCCCTCCTCTTGTAGTGGGAAGAATTGTTACCCCTACCAGTTGTTCTGAGCCTCTGAATATAGGTCCTGGCATAATGCTAGACATATGTTAGATGCGTATTTAATGTTTATATTGTATGAAATAGTTCTGTGCCTGTCTTTTGTCCATTCGAAGAACTTGAGAATCGACATAACAGAATATCACTGAGAGTGTAGACCAAGGTGTTTCTGTTTCTGTTTTGATGTAGAATGCTGAAATCTAGCAAAAATCAAGTGAGCTTTGGGGTGCAGATAATGTCAAGAGGAGTGTGCCTGTTTAAATCAGTCATTGGGTGAATTTACTTAATACTTTTTTAGATTCTGTAAGCCTGATAATTGAATATTGGGTGGGGAACCAAGCCATTGTTCATTTGGGTGTGTTTGGCTTGGATATCATTTTAAAGACTCGTTCCATAACTCCACCCCAATACATTACACTTCTGATGAAATTTGTTTAAAATGCCTAAGTTTAAAATCTAACATATGTGGCCTGTCCTGAGAGTTTATGTGGAAAGGACTTTAACATTTCATTTTAGAGTTTGGTATATGCCATTTGACCATCAATTACATCAGTGACCATCAAGTTAACAAGCAACTGAACAATTCAGGTGTGTCCTAATGGTGTTCCATTTTCTTAGAACTAGAGTGAATCAACTAAAGATGTTGATATAAAATCAGTTCCTCAGCTGCTTTTTAACTCTCAGAAATCGTGGTACGGAAATCACAGCATACTTAAAATTTTAGTCATGAATTTAACTGTCAATCTACTTACCCTTAAGACCACCAATAATACATATTGGTTGCCATTGTGGGCCTCAGACACTAACAGGAAAAAAGTGACAAAGTAGGAAATCAGTAAATGCTTCAGCCATCACTTAGTGTCCTGTTTGTTTCTTAAAATGTTGCTTAAAAGGTGTTGTGTGTGTAAGTGGTTTTTAAACATTCTTTGGAAACAGATTTGTAAGAGCAAATCAAAAAAAAGGTCTCTCCGTAATAATAGAATAATGACTATATCCTAGTGGTTGTAAACAGTATTTTTTTATAAGTTAGCTTTGGTGTGTGTGTATATGTACATACGTATGTATACATATAAAAACTGTTAGAGAAAGATGCTACATTATTTTTTGTGAGATAGCTATTTAAAACTATGGAGATGTAATCCTAAACGCCATTTGTTTTCCTTCCAGTTTTATAATTTCATGGAATTATCAGTCTTTACTGTTGTATTTTTCCCTCCAGATTATATAAAAAGTATAGCCTTTGGTGTTTTTTTTTTTTTTTTTTAAGGGTCCCCTCTGATGAATGTGTTGATTAGCTTGGTTATTATTCATGAATCACTACTGGTGTCATCTTTGGTATCTTTAAAGCCAAAATGTATCTTGGCAAACTAAATAGAAGTTTAAAGCAAGTTTAATGTCTTGAAATAGGAATTTCTCTATAAAGTACTTGGATCGGTGTTTGCCTTTCCAACAGGAAGTTGCTAGTTAGTGGAGTGAGAATAGCAAAATTTTTTTCTTAAAACGGTCTAGGCCTAAATATTTGTGTTGCAAAAATAATTTACTTATGCAGGTTATTTATCATTTTAGGAATAAGACGTGTTGGAAGAAGACCTGATCAACAGCTTCAGGGTGATGGGAAAATGATTGATCGGAGACCAGAAAGGCGACCACCTCGTGAACGACGATTTGAAAAGCCACTTGAAGAAAAGGGTGAAGGAGGAGAATTTTCAGTTGATAGGCAAGATTTTTAAAAATCTCTTCATGTTTTGTCAGTTTACAGTCACGTTTTAAAGCTATAAATTGGGCATAATTGTGGGGTAGTAATGTGGCTGGTTTAAGTTTATCAGTTTTTCAGAGAAATGTGAGCAGTTTTTGGATGTGTGCAGGTCATACATTTAAGTACCAGTTTCTGGTGTTCAGATTTCTTGTAATGCACCACTTGAATTGATGGGCAGTTTCTTTTCTTTGCTATCCCCAGATGTTAGTTAACAGGAAAGTTCTGTTGGGTTTATAGCAAAACAGGTTACTAATATTAGGCAAGTTAGATGTGTTTGTTTTAATTTTTAAGTGTATTGATGAATAGCAGTTTGAGTGGATTTTAATATGAAATGAATAACAACGAAAAAGTATGTGCATTAGTAAAGTTCTAGAGAATGTCAAAAAACCTTTTTGTTTTGTGGGAGCCTCCTAGTTCTGATTTCCTTAATGTTTAGAAATAGCCTATTGAATTTTTCCGTGTTTATTAAACTGTGGAGTCATGAGAGCCAATTAAATACGTTCCTGTGTTTTGAGCTTTTGAGTGAATTTTCCTTGCTCCCTTTTCTGGAAACATTGGAAGTAAATAATATATTTTATTTGTTGTAGACCGATTATTGACCGGCCTATCCGAGGCCGTGGTGGTCTTGGAAGAGGTCGAGGAGGACGTGGGCGTGGAATGGGCCGAGGAGATGGATTTGATTCCCGTGGCAAACGTGAATTTGATAGGCATAGTGGAAGTGATAGATCGTAAGTCTTAATTGGTTCTTACTGTATTTTTGTATTTGAATCCACTTCTTTAAAAAAATAAAATTTGAATTTCTAGAACTAAAGAGTATTATGTTAACTCAGTTTTGTTAGTTCTTTTTCACATTACAGTGGCCTGAAGCATGAGGACAAACGTGGAGGTAGCGGATCTCACAACTGGGGAACTGTCAAAGATGAATTAACGTTGGTATTTTGATTTTTTAAATAAATAATTGTAATAAAATTGATCCTATATCTAATTAGAGGTTTAACCATTACTATTAGCTTTTACTTGTCTTTAGGACAAGAAGGAATGCTCTCATCTCAGAGCTACTTCTTTACGAGATAATGTCTTATTGGATATGTTTGTGTTATAATGCACCAAGTGACTGGTTTTTCTATGTCAGTATATGTGATGCTAATTTTTCTTGTTATGTGGATATTTAGCTTTTTTCCTGAAACCCTTCATTGAAGTATGTGGATATTCTGATTTCTGTGTGTCTTCAATAGTTCCTATTCTAGCTGTTGACCTATCTGGTCATTACAAAAATTTGATAAGTTGGTGAAGCTTTGTTTTAGAACTAACTGCTCTGTCCTACTATTTGAGTAAAGTGCTTGAACTATAACTTGGTTCAGTATATATTTTTTTATTATTTTCCCTAAGATGTTTACTGGGGAGTAAATACAGTAGGAAGATGCCTACAGAATGTGGGGATTTTAAAATGTGTTTGTATAAAGAATTCTTCAGTTACATGTCAGTGGACCTAGATGCCTTTCTTTTTCTTTCTTTCCTTAGAGAGTCCCCAAAATACATTCAGAAACAAATATCTTATAATTGCAGTGACTTGGATCAATCAAATGTGACTGAGGAAACACCTGAAGGTGAAGAACATCCAGTTGCAGACACTGAAAATAAGTAAGTGGTTTGTGTATGTTGGTAATAATGCTCAGGCATTAAAATCAGTTTGGGTTTTTACTAAGAAAATAACTTAAGGGTTAATGTTGTTATTTGATAGCTCTTTAATAGAGACATTATGATGCTGTACCCTTAAATAGTATCTAGAGGAATGATATTGGAAGAGTGTTTTGAACCTGTTTTTATTGGGCTCTAGTAGTTTACAAAATAGAAATAGTTATTTCTATTTTACCATTCGTAAAAAGATGAGGAAAATACATATTTTAGTAAAGCCCATTAGCCCTAAGCACAAAAATAACTATTTTAACCTGAGAATGGAGGGAGACTAGGAATAAGACGGTCATAACATTTTATCCAGCTGCTTTACTTGGTAGAAAAATTAAAATGGATATTCCTGTGACAGCTATCTGGAGACATCAAATAGGTGGAAACAAGAAGCTGAAGTTGAGGGTTTCAAAAAATTACACTAAATGGTTGAAATAGGACTTGGACTACTTAAACTCATATTTCAAAGAGCTTTGGACTCTAACTACAGATTTTATTCTGAGACAGTTTAAAACCAGAAAACATGACCATATTTAAATTCCTTATTCCATCTCTTTGAAGTATCTTTTTTCCATCAATGTAGAATTTGGACCATTGTGTTACTGACTTGTTTTAAAATGTATGAAAGCAAAGGTCAGAATGTGTTGTTCATTAGCTTTCTTAATCCTTTTCATTTTCTGAATTTTAAAGCAGAAGACTTGGATTTGAAGTTTTTGTTTATTTAAGGGTGGGAGAGTTTTGAAGATTAAAGTTATGTTGGTAGAAATGATTTAATTTCCTTTCTTTAGTTTCCATCAACTGAAGCAGAGGTTATGTGCCAGTCATTTCTTAACAGTATTGTGGTTTAAAATCTTGTATTATGGATTATTTAGGTCAGTAATTTTTAGGGGCATATTTAAGTCAATCAGGGAGGGGATGTTTTTCTAAGCTTTTCTTTTTCTCTAGGGAGAATTGCTGTTAAAATGAACCACTATTAATGATTGGAGTACCATTTTCCATGGGTTTGTTGGAATAAAAAATAATTGATTTACTGTTGGAGAGAATAGATAATTACATGGTGTTTAGTGATGTGTTACATTAAATAATATAAATTCATTTATATGAGACTGAACCACATTTTTGTGTGGTAAAAAAATGAAATTGTGCTGTGTGACTTAAATGAACATTACTTTTCAACGCTGAGTACAACTGTTGCTCTTTTTGTAAAAAGCGCATGTTTAAGTCACCTTTAGAGCAATATACAAAGATTGTAACTGTTTTCCTGATGGAAGCAATGTATTGATAGGGTATTGAAAGCTTATCCTTAGCTTGGGGACCCAGGAATATTGAATTGGGGTATTTGGTCTAAAGTTGATGATGATGATGACATTAGAGAAGTCAGGTCATAATACAGAGTAGGTGAATCTGAGCATAATTATGTAATTGTATAAATTATATCTTGCAGATATAAAATTATATCTTAAAGCAAATTTAAGAAGCGCAGCTTTGGCTGACTTTGATTAATTCCTTTATATGTAGTTTCCAGAACTTCTGTTTTGTCTCATTTGAAGTTAATCTTTTAAGATAGGTGTCGTGGTTCCATGATGTAATAAAGGGGTGCTGAGTTCTAGTCTTGGCTATGTCACATTTTAGGAATAACTAGGACCTTTTTCCAGTTCTTAGTTTTTTCATATTTAAACTGATAGAGTTGGATTAGATAGTGAAGATTTCATTAATTCAGTGTAAACTTGGTCTGGGAACTTTTAAGATAGGATTTACCGAACGCTAAAGAGGAGCAAGGAAAGGGAGATAACTTGAGCTCTAAGGCTCACTGAATCACCTGCTATCTTTGGAAAGAAGCAGGGCTCCCAAAATAGCAAATAGCTCGTTTGGTAACAATTGGAAATTGGGATTTGACTAAAATAAAGGATTTCTAAGCTCATGATTTATGTCTTTAAAAAGGGAAAATGATAATATGCAAATTATAGCCTGAATTATATTGGTAGATAACTAATTTAGTATTAATTATTGAAATCTGTGTACAGAGTTCCATTACTAGTGAAAACCTTATTAGTCCTCTGTCCATATATAGGTTGGTTTGAAAATCGGAGTATATAGAATTTAGGACTTGTAAAAACTTGGTTTTTTAACTTTGTTTTGTGTTGCTAAAATAAAGGATAGAAAAACAGTTCTTTTATATTGTAGAATAGAGACTTAGTTGGTTACAGGCATCCTAGATGATTGCTTCTATATTAATGAGTTATGTATTATGGCCAATAATGGAAATTAAAAATGTGTTTTGGAGAAGGTAGGCCAAGGATTTTAATCACATAAGGGTACAGTTGTAAAACAGTAATGTCCTAAGAAATGTGTACTTTAGGTTTGGTAAAGACACTTAAAAAGTGTATTATTGATAGATAATTATTGAAGAGTTCATGAATGTATTCATCTGTTATCCATACTTTTCACTATTTCAGCAAACCCTGAATTCTTGTCTCTACCAAGTTACATATTAGTCATTGGGTTACAAAGAAAACTGTGGTCCTCCTGTCCTTGTATAATTGCTGAAGAATTATGGTCAGCCAAGATTGGATTAGCTTTCTTAAAACGATAAATTATCTAGATTTTTATCAATTCTCTACCAGGTATAAAACTTAAACACCTTTTCACAGGGAAAACGAAGTTGAAGAAGTAAAGGAAGAGGGTCCAAAAGAAATGACTTTGGATGAATGGAAAGCTATTCAAAATAAGGACCGGGCAAAAGTAGAATTTAATATCCGAAAACCAAATGAAGGTGCTGATGGGCAGTGGAAGAAGGGATTTGTTCTTCATAAGTCAAAGAGTGAAGAGGTAAAATTATGTTATTTGGTGTTTAAAAATGTTCAGTTGTGTCTTGCATTGCTTTTATAATTTTGTTTTCAAATTTCACATAGATCATCTTATACAAAAGGAAAGTTTTACGTAAGATTATTTGAGGCAAATGAATTGCTCAGAAAGGAAACTGCATCTACCATGTATTCCCAGAAATTTAGTCCTTTAATGCATGATTTAATGTCATTTATTTTTTCCTAAAAAGCTCTTAGTCATTTGTATATAAGTGATTTATAAATAAGTCAGTTAATAGTGTTTTAGAAATCTGGTAGATCTTTTCAAAGTTGTAATATTTTTAAAAATCGTGTGTAATTGGGAATCATAAAAGGATTTACATTAGATTGAAAAGTAGGCATTTTCATGTTGAACAGCGTGAGTAGTTTCATTCAGTATTCAGCTTTTCAAACTGCCTACGCCATATATAATGATCAAAACTTCTCAGTAAGTGGTAGTATCCTTCTGTATTGAAGAATGGAATCTTGTAATAATTACGGGTTTCCTTTCCTTAAGAAATGTAGAAATGAATGAAAACATTTGAGAAAGATATAGTGGTTTTTGATTTGGTGGCTTCCATTTTAAGCCTTGGGGCACATTCTAAGAGGAATGTCCTGGTGCATCCTTTTAGGGCTTGTGTAATTACAATAATTTAGTCATAAAGTCAAAGTATTAGGAAGGCAACCTGTAATAAATGATTCAGTTAGATCTTGTAACATTTTAATTTTTTCAGTGAAAAAATAGCTGTGAAACAAATGGGAACATTTTGAAATAAAATTGAATATATTTAAGTATTTTTTCTAGGTTTAGAGGTAATTTTTTTAAACTGACTCCATAAAAATAATTAATGAGGACATTGTCTTAAGTGTCAGATCCTGTAGAAAAAAATCATTTGATTCATTAGAGTACTTGGGTTATTTTTTCTTAGTTTTGCAGATAAAGTTGTTTCGTGTTCCTGGTAAAGAGAATAGGATTCCTTATTAAAGAACCACGAGGGTTCATTTTAGGGAGATAATTCATCTTAGCTAATTATTAAACTGCATTGTTTAATATGAATAAGATGTACTTAGATACCTTTGAGACAATATATTTATAATTTTTGGGGGGTCCTGACAGAGCTTTTCTCCAGAACAAGACATGTATATAGATAATTAAGGTAGACTTCTTTTAAGATTCCTTAATACCCTGAAGCCACTTCATACATTTTATAGACATCAGGTTAGGTACCCCTGTTTTTAAATATTTACATTGAGCTTTTGAGAAATAATTATTCCACAAGATGTATATGATTAGAAAGTTTTTTAAGTTATAAAATGTGAAATTGGTTATGAATAACTTTGAAATGAGGACGTTTTCATTATCAAGCCACTTTTATATATTTGGACCCTTAGTGTTGAAGATTTTGTGATGTGTGGGTACTTGTACTTGTTTAGGTCTCACCTTAATGGCATATATGACCTTATCAATTGAATATATGTCTACAGATTTGTTGTATACAGCACTTAAAGTGCTCTTTTTTATGTCTTCATCCTTATAATAAAGATATGGAGTAGTTAACAGAAAAGAAGAAACTTTAATAGAAATGGAAAACTGAGTTACAGTGCTATTGACAAAGCTGAGATGAGAGCTATTTCCTAAAATAGTTTGTAAATTTATAGTTACCTTAAAAATTAGGGTTATGCCCTGAACATACAAACTTCCTCTTTATTATTATAGTAAAACCTTCAAGGTATTTCAATTTTATCAGCTTAAGCTTCTTGGCTTCTGTGGTCTAGAAATTAGTACAAAGGCTCCTAAATGATGTTATTGTTGGTTTGTGATAGCAAACATTTAAAATTACACAATTACTATATAAAGAAATGCCTGTAATTTGCTAATAGTTGCTAATAGTGGTTGTTCGTGTATGTTTTAGACTCCTTTAAAATTAGTGTTTTTCTAAGAACTGTGTCTATTGCCTTTTAAACTAGGTTGGCCTGGCGCTAAGGGATAACATTTCATTTTCTGACATTAGATGATAAAAGGGGTGAAAACGTGCATACCAATAGAAAATTTTGTTTTTAAAGGATAGTTGTAATGTTACAATATACTTAGATGAAAAATCCATTATGTTTTAGAAAACACAAGGATTATACATGTATTTAGAAAAATTAAAATGTTCTTTAAAGTAGTATGAGAAGAGTTTTCAACTAGAAGGTTAAAGCCCATTCATCCCAAACATACAAGAAGAAATCAGCCATTAAGCAATGTAAAATTCTCTGGCTTTTTTTTTTTTTTTTTTTCAGACTGGGTCATGTAGCTTGTATATGAATACAAAAGATGGTTTGAATTTCACAAACTTGATGACTTCACTTCTGAGAAGGTTCCTTTGTTATATTTAAGGCATGGTGTTATTTGTGTGCAGATTTTCAAGGTTCCCATCTTATGTAAAGTTGTGTTTCACTTGAATTTGTAGCTCTTCAGTTTATATGGAAGACAGTAATTGTATATGAACAGAAAAGCATTCTGAGAACTCTATACACAATTTGTCTTCCCAAGTCATAGTTGGAAGAGTTCAGAGCAAAGGTTTTCATAAAGAGATTCAGTTGTTGTATAACTGGTAGAAACCTTATATGCTATCTGTCCAAATGTTTTCATCAGGGGTTCACTTGGAATCTTAATCTGAAGGGCATTTTTAAAATGTACTTATCCAGACTGGATGCTGAAGACTGTGACTTAATAGGCTTGAGGTGGGGCCTAGCCACTTCAGTGGTTGTGATGGTTTACCTCTAATTGAGACTTGGCCAGTTTAATATTAGGGGGAATATGAAAGAGTGAAAGGAATTCTTCCTCCATGATCACTGTAGCTTATTCCAAAGCTCACTCAGTACCCCTAGTGGTGGTGGTGGTATTTGTTCACATAAAGTATAGACTGGACTTCCTTCTTTAGGATAAAGCTCATTATTTAGAAATTTGCCACATTACTATTAACCAAAGGTGTTTGTTTAAATTTTTAGGCTCATGCTGAAGATTCAGTTATGGACCATCATTTCCGAAAGCCGGCAAATGATATAACATCTCAGCTAGAGATAAATTTTGGAGACCTTGGCCGCCCAGGACGTGGTGGCAGGGGAGGACGAGGTGGCCGTGGGCGTGGTGGACGTCCAAACCGTGGCAGCAGGACTGACAAGGTAATTTTAAGACTTCTACTTTTTCAAGTAATTGAGGACTTTTCTCTTGGTAAATCATGCTCTAAGTCCTTTTGGGGACATAGTAGAAGAAAAAGCAGTACATGTTTTCAAGAAGCAACATTCTAAGTTACATTTTTGTTTAAAGCACTTAAATGACTAATGCTACTAGTAGACTTAAATTCTTTATCACCCTTTATTGAGTACTTCATCAGGTATTGGTCATAGTGGTGTGTTAGTGTCCTACTGAATTCTTGTTACTATGTTGATACCCCATTTTACAGAAGAGGAAATAGAGGTGCAGGGGAGCATGTTAATTCACAGCCTTTACTAAGGTCTACCTGAAATGTCAACTACTTCCTTTTGCCTTTGCTCTATGGATTTTTACTTAGGTCTCAGCTTAATGTAACCTTTGTATCCATTGTACAATTGTGTGATGCCAGGTGGTTGTCAGTACCGTTTTTGTTCTTGATATTTTACTAGACTGTTCTGTGAGAGCTGGGATTCATTTTGTCCTACTTTCTGTAATCCCCAATGCCTTAACAGTGTATGACACAAAAGAAGTTCTTCACAATATTTTGATAGATGTCCTAAGAAACTTGATAGATTGGCAGTCTGATCTGATACCCACGTACACATTTCTAATGAGTAGATACTATATAGTAGAAATATCCTTTGGGTTAGTTCATTGTGGTATAGTTAGGAAACACCATTATGTCCTTCTGAAATCTGATATACAAATTGGGGGATCCAGCTACTTGATTGACTCTGTCATATTTGATTATGGTGATAACAGTATTACAGATTTTATGGTCACCAGTACAATGGAGTGGTGTTTATTTTGTTTTTCTTCCTCTCACAGTTTTTTTTTTAAAGGCTAATATGTATATTGACTTCTTCAGTACATTCTTATTCTGTTATTTGTACTTTGTAAATAACAGTTGGGTTTTTTAACATTGACAAATGTGCTACTTAAAAAATTGTCATCAGTTTTTTAGCCTGCTTTCAAATTGATACCATTCTTATTTATAGCAAGTGTGGAAAATAAAAGAATACTCAGCGACATAGTAAAGTTCCACTTACATATTCATGTGGATCTACTTGTGTGATTTTAATAGAAAAATAAAATGACCCATCCTGTTACTAGGGAATTCTTTTAGGTCTTGATAGAAATTCAGGACAAGACTCACTGCAAATATTTGTAGTACTATACTGATCCATAGTTTTGCCTTTTAAGTAAAAGCTTTGACACATTTTACTGAGCATTTTAACTTGAAGATTTTTTAGAGTTCTGTGTCTAAATGTAGGTACTGGTAATCTATTTTCAGAATTTGACAGTTGTTAATTTTGGTTTGTTTCTGTTTCAGTCAAGTGCTTCTGCTCCTGATGTAGATGACCCAGAGGCATTTCCAGCTCTGGCTTAACTGGATGCCATAAGACAACCCTGGTTCCTTTGTGGACCCTCCTGTCTGAGGTTTTGCATGCTTAAGGATCCCAAACGACTAAGGAAATTACTTGAATTTAAAGAATGGCAGCTTAGTAACAAAACAGACTGAGATGATGCTCATGAAAATCTGCATCCTCAGTCAAAACAGTAAAAAAAAAAAAAAAAAGACTGTCATTCATACCATTCACACCTAAAGACTGAATTTTATCTGTTTTGAAAATGAACTTCTCTTGCTACACAGAAGTAACAATATGGTAGTCAGTTTTGTATTTAGAAATGTATTGGTAGCAGGGATGTTTTCATAATTTTCAGAGATTATGCATTCTTCATGAATACTTTTGTATTGCTGCTTGCAAATATGCATTTCCAAACTTGAAATATAGGTGTGAACAGTGTGTACCAGTTTAAAGCTTTCACTTCATTTGTGTTTTTTTGAAAATTAAGGATTTAGGTGTTCTCCCCTATTACAAACTGGTTTTAAATATTGGACATAATATCAGTTTTAATACCTGCTTTGCATTTTCACACATGGTCAGCTGAGACATGTAAACTTTGATTTGTTAAATTTTATGCTGTGTGGAATACTAACTACTTTATGTATTTTAACTTAGTTTTAATATTTTCATTTTTGGGGAAATCTTTTTTCACTTCTCATGATAGCTGTTATATATGCTAAATCTTTATATACAGAAATACCAGTACTTGAACAAATTCAAAGCACATTGGTTTATTAACCCTTGTTCCTGCATGGTTCGTTAGATTCAAATAATTGATTTATAGTGTCAACTATATTTATACTTTTAAAATGTGTGACTTGCCCATTTTAAAAGCCAGACGAGACATCTTACTGATGAAAGTTGTTTAAGCTACTTATTGTTGATAGACACATCCTGTCCAGTGTTTATGGGTGTTGGGTTTTTCCCTCTCCAACAGGGTGGGTGAAAAAAGTTGATTTGGCTAATGCATAGTATTCAAACTGTTCTGTAAAATAAGTGTCCAGCCACTCGGTATGATTTGTGTGTATGAAAGGTCCCAACTCAAAATTGTACTTCCATGATCAACCCTTTTAATCCTTCCTTGTTCTGAAAAAACCAAAGGGCACTGGTTAGTATGGTGAGATGGGAGTATGTTAATTTTTGAAATTTGGAAAGCAGACAGCTTTACTTTTATAAGGTTGGAACAGCAGCACCATCCACGAAATAGAAACCAAAAATCCTGGTGTTTCTGAATTTCCTACATTACTATTTTGGTATTGTTAGGTGACTGTTCCACAGAAGGTGATAAGTATCTTTTACCTCTTCCTCCATTAGAAAATTAGGTTAATAAAGGATTCCTTGAACAGTAGGGTCACAACTTACTAAAACATACATGGAGAGAATGATCAATAAAAAGGTTTTCTAGGATTTTTTTTTTAGACTTCTGCCACATTTATTGATAAACAGGAAAGGAATTTTATTTATAGTTCTAAAGATCTTTTGTTACTCAGTTTTCAGTAATTTTCTATGTATGGTAATGTCTAGTTTTTCAAATACTGAAGACCTAAAACCATAAAATGTCTGCTATCTAGCTGATTAGTTCTCCCATATACTTATAAAAGAAATTTGTGCAGTACAAGTTATTCATTTAGGTTAGAGTTATTAATCTAGATACTTACTAGTTTGACATCTTAGGAAGGAGGTAATTTGGTTTTTCATGATGGATAAACTTCGCTGGTGTTTTGTATCTTATGATGCTGAGCATGTTCTGCACTGGTGCTAATGTCTATTATAATTTTATATTTACAAGCATACCTGCTACCCAGAGGCAAGTATTAATTTAGTCCATATGGACTATTGACCCCTCTTGAGATTGCAACATATGTGCTCCTAAATCAGTATGTTTAGACTTTGAAGTATCTTAACTCATTTCCAGACGTGTAACATGTTTATAAACCTCTTGATTCCTAGCAACATATAGAAAACACTTGCTATTAAAAACACTTCACAAGTTATACTCACTGTCAGCCATTGCTGGCATTCTGTCACTAGAGAATACACAGCAATATCTGTTATGTTGCAAGCTTTCAAGATAGTCTGAACTTTAAAAAGTTGGTCCATTAGTTGTATCTGATGGATATAAATTTGCCTCCTAGTTCACTTTGTGTCAAGAGCTAAAACTGTGAACCTTACTTTCTCTTATTGGTGGGTAATAACTGAAAATAAAGATTTTATTTTCATGCTCACTTCTTAGAAGTTGTAAAAACAATCAAATAGGAGCCCATTGATTGTCATGTGTTTTCTGACATGTGTGTGCACCCCCAAAAATGCTCAAATTTCATTTTTCCCCTTATACTTAGGTTTTGTCTAGGTGGGGTTTTTTAGTAAACCAGGCTGTTGAATCACTTTGGGAGGAATACCTATTTTAATGAGTATTATAACTGGAAAGCTAAATTCTTATAAAGTGAATTTCAAGGACAGACACAGCAATTGACATTTATCTTAGATAAGATTTTAAGTGTGAGTGTAAATCATACCAAGTGTAACTTTTTTTTAACAAACAGGGTATGATACTCTGAAGAAAATTCCTTAATGGTTGCAGATCCCTAAATAATAATAGTGGCTCATTGAATGTTCTAGTGAACTTTTATCTTGATGCTTTTAAAATGGGCATAATGCCAGAGTTGATATTTGATATTAAGATACTTTCAGCTTGCTTTGAAACGACTGGGATATGGTTCCTCTTTTAGTTAAGACCTGTGTGGGGCTATGAAAGATTTTTTAATATGCCATTAGGTACTATACATTTAGTTTTTACTTTAAAAGTGGAAGAAGCAGGACACACCTTAAGGGTTGTAAATATATTTGGGACTAATTTTTTGGTATGGGTTTGGAAAGTATTAAGTACTCATTCTGGTTATATTTCTAATTGCTTGAGATGGTTGTACTGAAACAATTTTTATGCTGTTAGGGAGTTGCATACAAAGTCTAAATACTGTGAGTTTTAAAAACATCTTTAAGAGCACTAGCATTATGTGGATGGAACCAACAAGTATTAAAAGATGTAAAAAATTACAGAGAAATGTGAAGGTCCTAGAACCTGAGTGATTTTAGCTTAAATATTTTATTAGGTGAATTAATGCACATCAATCCCAACGTTGAAGTAACTGGTAGAGCAAATTCTAGGACTCTTCGGTACAAGGATACTTTCTAACGAAAGTAAATGAATGCTCTAGAAAACAGATTATAACCTGGACATTAGTATTCTACTGATAACTAATATGTAGTTAAATGCTTAGTGAGTCTGAACACTTAAAAGTCAGATCTCCAAGTTGACTGGAGATGGCCCAGAAATTGATTACTAGTGCTTTCTAGTAACATAGAGCATAGAGTGTATCTAGTAACAGAGTAAAATGGTTTCTAATGAAACTTCCAGACCTAGTAATAAGTGACATAATTTGACAACATTGTTTGCAAAATTGCCAGGTTTTATCACTGAGATGTATATTAAGTGGCAGCTTTCAGCAATTTGGATTCAGTTACTTTATGCCTTATCTGAGTTTACTTTGGACATGTTACCTCAGTTTGAGAATCCTATTTGATTTTAAGTTAAGACAAAAAGCAGAGGTTATATGTGAAACAGTTGATAGTCTTTTTCAGACAGAGGAATTCACTAAATCAAAGAATATAGGGAAAGGTTGTAACCCAAAGGATGAGCAGAAAGAGACTGAGAACATAAATTATTAAAGCCATTAAGATTTTGGCCACAGAGAAAAGAACAAATATTGGAAATGTATCATTTTAAAAAGTGCTATATCAAGCCAAGGGGCAGCAAATCTTAGCCTATGATTTGTTTTTGTACAGTCCCTGAACCAAGTCTGGCTTTTACATTTTTAAAGAGATAACAATATTCTGCAAAGATGTGTATAGCCCACAAAGCTTAAAACATTGATTTGTCAGTTTACAGGAAATGTTTGCTAACCTCTGATATTCCCAGGTCAACATGGGAGTTCTCTTAAAAGTTCAGTGCTAGATGAAAATTACATCATCCTACCTGTGGAAGTTATGATATTAGAAGTATTTTTAAAGCAAATTTTTACTGCTTAATCTCTAATCAGAATAAGCAAGGTACATCTGGTGGCTTCTTAGTAAAGGTGGTCTTGTTATTTTAAAACTTAGGTAGCTTGCAACTTAAATATATTCCGAAAGCTGTTAAGGAAGGTGTAACTTTGCTATAAAAGTAAGCTAAATACCACAATTACAGTTTAATGTTTAACATTTAGTGGCACTTCTCATCACTTAGTGCTGAGTGTTTTCTGTTGTGCTAATTGACTTTTCCATGAGATAAGAATTACGAACAATATGTATGTATAGGTAAGAAAACAGATGTCTGAACACTGGTTCAACTGGGGCATGAATGGCTTCTGAGTAGTGCATTTCTCAGAGCCTACTCAGAATATCCATTTAGGCAGAATTTAGCTTTTGTGCCCTTGATTGCTTCTGTATTAAATAACTGGGAGTCAGTTGTTAACTTCTAAATGGAGGGAAAGGAAAGGTGTGGAATAGCCTGTATAAGTTGGAAAATAACTTACCAAATTATATTTTGAGGTTTTAATTGCATAGGTTCTTAGTTTTAAATGAGTAACATTGTCCCTTTTGCTGCTTATTTGGGAGGGTGTGCCAGTTCCTAGTGTGTGCTTGCCTTGTGCATGGAAAACATGAAAAATACCTGTAACAACTAGTATCTGACAATTATAAGGATTTTTAAAACTAGATAACTGATTAGACAGTTGGCTTTGAACCGATCTTCCTATGGCTTTACTCCTTGAATATCTGCATTAAAATGTGTTACTGGTTTGGAGATAGAAATGTGGAAAGTGGAAGGCTGGTTAATACTCAGGATTTTGATATTGTTTAGTGAGCTGAGTAGGGAAAATGGGGGGAAGTAGCTTATCTTTGGACTACTTATATCACGTTAAGTACACTTATGGCTGATTATTATTAAAGATTTTAAGACATAAAAAGAACTTCTAATGAAGATGTGGCACTAGTTTCTATCTGCTTAGAATGAAGATCCATTATAAAGTGGTTCAGCTGAACTTGGTTTTGGACATTTAACCGCCTAGAGTTTTGTCATATTGGGACTAAAATTTTTATTAGCAAATGAATGATGTTGAAAATTTTTTTGGGAACTTTGCATACTGAATTCTGTCACACCTTGGGTGTAATAACCCATAGTGAAATGTTGCTTTGTTCGGCAACCACACACTGACAATGCTTAGATAAGCACGGGTTTAGACATTTTATTAAGTGC